CAATTATTGCTCGCATCACATTTATTAGCTGTTCCTCAGTGATGTCTTGAAATGTCACCCTTACTTTATGCTCTAGTTCTTCACGAGTAGCTGATGTTGTATTGTAAACCTGATTTTTAATTGTTCCCCAGAGAAAAAAATCTATCGGAGTAAGATCTGGTGATCTATAATATGAAAGAGAAATAATACATTTATGTAAAAATATGACAACTCAAAAATGTACCTCGGCCACTGAATAGGTCCATAAGTGCCAATCCACTTTTCTGGGAAGGTGTCATTCAGATGTTCTCTTACGACTTGAGAATTGAAAGGTGGCGCTCCATTTCGTAAAAAATAGATATTAAGTTGGTTAGTCAGTGCCAAATCTTCAATGAAATCATTAATTTGATTTCTAAGAAACTGTAGATATCTTTCCGCAGTCAGTTGTCCGTCGAAAATTATTGGCCCCAAAAGTTTTCCTCCGATAATACCCATCCAGCAATTAAAACCAAATCGCTCTTGAAAATTTCCTTCTTGCATCAGATGTAAATTTGTTTGAGGCCAGTACCTTTTATTATTCTTATTGAACATACCCAAGTTGGTGAATCGGGTTTCATCTGAATAAATTATTTAAAATTTAAAACGTACATCGTCTCTGTATTTGATGAAAAACCAGTTGCAATAAGTCAGTCTTCGGTTGTGATCGTTATTGTAAAGATGTTGGTGTAGTTGGTACTTGAATGATCGATAATTATATTTGTGAAGAATTCTCCAAACAGACGAATAACTTATATCACACTCAGAAACAATTTGGCGACTTATATCACACTCAGAAACAATTTGGCGAATTGACGCTTCACAACTCACTTCAACATAGGCCAACACGTCTACTTCTTTTTCTTCACCGACGATGAAGTTATTGGCATTTTCTTCTGGTTCATTTCGCATTTTTTCTTTCCAGTTTTGGAAAATAATGCCGAGTGGGATGGCGACGATTAGGGAACCTCTGAGCATAAATTCGAGCTGCATCAATTGCATTCTTTTTTGTTTATTCGTAAATTAGCAACATGTCAATTTTCTCGTTTCTATTATAATTTGCCATATTTAATAAACTACAAAACAAATACATTTTTAAAAGTGACAGCATATTCATTAGCCTAATTGTTTAGGTAGTCCTAGCAACAGCTTCAATTGTTTGTCACCGATAACTAGAATAACAGGACGTAGTGCATAAGTATATGGAATATGTAGGTATTATTTGTTATTAGGTATGATCGTTTCTGTCAATTATTCAAAATCAAGTTAACTGGAAAATTTCATATTTGCGACTGTGAAATAATTCTTAAAACGACTGTGAAGTCATCATCCCATGTTGTTTCATCAACTAGATCATTCTAGATCAAAAAATAAAAATTGGAATAAAAATGACTTTATTTGTCAAATATTGACAAGTGAAGTATTGTTGGATTTAGAATGTCATTCTCGATCGAAATAAGTAAAAATATATAGGATGTCCCATTTAAAAATCGAAAGTTGGGGTCATTTCCGGTCAAACCGAAAGTACGGCAAAGCAAATAAACATGTTAAAAAATGTATATTGAACTATAATAGACAACCCCAAATTTTGTTTTTCTATCTCCATTAATAAAATAGTTATAGGGGTGCGCCACCTTAGAGAATCACGGTATATTAGATTCTTGTTTTTTCCAATAAGTCATTGATATACCCATGTGGTTTTTGACGGTTCAAAACGTATTGGAAAGGTTAAAAATTATTTGCGCAACCAAAACGATCCTTTTTTAGATAGAATTGTCACGTGTGATGATAAATGGATCCTCTATGACAACAGGAGACGTTCAAGAGAGTTTAAAGTAGACTCATAAAAACCAACGAAACTTTTGGAACCTAATATTATATCTATCTATGTATATATGTTATATCAAGGGAGGATTTATGAAAGGTAATGTAGTTAATTACTCTCCCTTTCCCTTAACATCCACTTTTAATACATTTCAAATAAGTATTCCAATATTTACAAGCACATACTTTCATACATAAATTATACCTACTGAAAATAGACCTGAATCTGCACTTGGATATCCTAATGAAAATCTCATAGTTGAAGTTAAAATGGAAATTAAAGTGAAGATGAAAGTTGATAAATCCACCCTAAACATGTTTTGAAAAAATGTTACGTCACTGGCATCATGAGTTGGAAAGTGAAACTATCCCAAAAGTATCAAAAAAACAATTGTGATTTGAAGTATTACTACAAAACAGGTAGATTCAAGATATAGTAATTTAAATATAACTTATTTATTTTATTTTGCACTCTCCCAAGAGAATGATTGATAAATGAGTTATTTACCAAATTAAAATTAATATTGTAGATTAAAATATATCAAACAAAAATAAATACATTTGAGATATTTTAAAGGAATGAAATTTCTAACCCTAAATAATATTCTTGTAATGCACTGTTTGGAACTTTTGGTGTAGTAAAGAATATTACTGGAGATTTTTTCCCAACACCAAACAGTTATTTTAACACCCCGACACGTGTTTCGATCACCAAGTGATCATCTTCATGAGGAAGATTAAACTGTTTAATCTTCCTCTTCCAGTTTAATCTTTCTCTTGAAGATGGTCACTTAGTGATCGAAACACGTGTCGAGGTGTTAAAATAACGGTTTGGTGTTGGGGAAAAAACTCCAGTAATTTTCTTTACTAAATAATATTCCTGAAATTGGTTCGATTTCCTTTTTGAATGAGTATTCTAACATAGACTTTCATCAATGTGCAATCCTAAAAAGGTTGTAGTCTGACAATATGTAATAATTGAATTGTTGAAAGCCAAATTCTCTTTGTTTATGGTACGCGAATTGGAACCGCTGGTAAAAAACGAATTTAATGGAGATAAATTTATATGATTTGTAGTGTCCGACCGAAAGTTCGGTTTCCGTCGAGTTTCGGTAAAAAACGGGTTTCGGTGGCAAACCTGCCGAAACTACGACAGAAACCGAAACTGGATTCGGGAGTTGTCACGCTGTGATCGGTCATGTTGGGCGTGTTGAATTTCATACAAGCGATGGACATTTTGCCGCGTCCACGTGCTTAATCATGTCGTGACTAACTTTGTGATTTACCATGTTTATTACATAGATATTAAGTACCTATTGTGATATTAAGTAACTTAAATAAGTAATTTTATGTTTAATATTTTTGAAAAACCATTAATAATATTCAAAAGAAGAATCTACACCTACTCAAATAAACACCTCACCTATTTTAAGTATTTTTAAGGTGCAAATAATATTTTTTTTAAATAAGAGTTTCTTATGTTGATTTGTTGATTGTTAATAAGTGAAAATGTCGAAGACTGCATAACATTGTGATTTAAAGATAAACAAATTAAGACTGACTGATTATAATAACGTTTTCTTCATTTTTCCCTAAAAAAATAATCATTGTAAGGAAGTTTCGGTTTCGGCCGAAACTGAGACTGTTGCCGAAATTCGTTTTCGGTTTCGGTCNACCAATACGGTTTCCGGAACGGAAAATCAACCACGGACGCTGTAATGCAGCTGGTAGATAAAATCGTCGTAGGATTTCAGAAATGTGTCCACACAGGAACAGTGTTCTGCGATCTTCAGGCGGCATTCGATTGTGTGTCACATGAAATTCTGCTTAAAAAATTGGAGAGGTTCAAATTTGAGGAAAACTCAATTAACCTTGTTAGATCATACCTATCGGAACATAGACAATACGTTTTTTTGAATAATAAGGCATCTGATACCAAAGAAATAAAAAACGGAGTCTACCAAGGTTCGGTTTTGGGACCAGTTCTATACTTGATTTATGTGATTGATTTCAAAACTGAAGATGACTCTGAGATTACGCAATTTGCTGACGACACGTCATTAACGCTCCAAAACACAAATTACGAGGCTATAGTTAAAGAAATGAAAGTAGCAGAATCGAATGCTAATAGATGGCTGACAAATAATAAATTAAAATTGAATACAAATAAAACGCAACATTACTTTTTTACACACAAACAACTGCCTATAGACCAAAATGAATCGATTAAATTTCTTGGATTCCAAATGGATCCAAAGCTCTCTTGGGAAAAACATGTAGATTTTATTTGCAAAAAATTGGCAACTAGCATTTATATTATAAGAAGTTTAATGGGCATCTCATCTACTGAAACCATTATCACTGCTTATTATCCACTTTTTATGTCCCATGTATCTTATGGTCTAGTACTCTGGGGGAACTCGCCTCATGCAAAACGAGTGTTTGGACTGCAAAGAAAAGTTTTGCGAGTTATCTTCAAACTGGGTTATCAAGAAGATGTTAAAACAACATTTATTATTAATAAAATGTTTACATTACCTTCTCTTTACGTCTATTCATGTATAAATTATGTAAAAAAAATCCTCACTTATAACTAAATCAAAACGATTTTTATTCACGTAACATCAGACAATCACAACAGATTAAAATTGAATTCACAAGACTAAATCACTGCCGTTTTTCGAAAAATCATTATGGTCCTATTTTATTTAATAAACTACCAGAAGATATAAAAAACTTAAATACAGCCTCGTTTACAAATTATATGAAGAATATCTGCCTGGAAAACACTTTTTATAGTATCGACGAATTCTTATCATTTGATTTCAACACCAACTAATATTTTGAATTTACAATCCACGTAGACAGTGATATTTATATTGAAATTGTTCACATCTCATTTCCTTATTTGTTTATTTATTCATTTAGTGTTTTTATGGTATATGATATTTGACAAAACCTCATAATGGCGAATAAAGGATATTGTATTGAATTGTATTGTTAACTTTTATATCTGGTACTTTTGCTTAGTAAAATATCAATTTCAATACGACATTATTTTGTGGAACTCAGCATGAGTTTGATAAAATTTAGTAAGAATTGAATTTCAATTCAAAATTTTTAAATAAATGAATACAATTAGTCTCGTTTATAGTAAATATTCACCAAACAAAAATAAATTTCATGATCCATACCTGCAGGCTTGTTTTGGACATCGTTATGGGCTTCACACAATTCTTCAACAACACCGAACGTTCGTATTTCCCTCCGAAGAATCTCACATCAAAATGCGTCTCAGTCTCATTCATAACCTACAAGAAAATAATTAATGAGTAAAACTAGAAACCCGAAAACCGCCCTGCAAGGGAGGACACTGCTGTAACAAAACAGCAACACCACGACGGGGGCGAACTGGATAGGTTCGAGCACTTGCCAATTAATTTAAATAAAAATTCGGGCGTTTTCCAACACTTTTAATTCCCAGCAGAAATATTGAAATTTCGTGATAATGAAAATTGCAAATTACATAAATAATAATTTTTCTATAGAACAGAGTAACTAATGAAAATTTTATTCGCACCAGACTCGAGAAACCTTAATCAGAATTTTGATTTGGAAACTCATTTGTCCCAAGGATACATTCACTTCCCAGGAACTTCGAAACAATTCACAAGAATATAACGTATCTCATACTATAAGAATCTGACAAAATCTGGGGGATTCAATTCAAACGCAATAGTCGATATTTGAGTAACAAAAGTACCTGAGATATAAGGTTCGTTCCAACCTTGGGTCACCAACAGATTTCCAACAGTTTGTAAATCGTTGTCAACGCGCATGTCTGGTAAATACTGGTTTCTGATTAATTTGAAATTTCTGATTGGAACAGCTGATAGTTCAACTGAAGTTTGGTAAGGAATTTCATCATAACCTTTAAAAATAAATCTCATCAAGTGTATTTCTGGAGAGTAAAAGAAGGTTGCAGTATTTTATATCTCTATTCTATTTACTAATCAACATGGAACTGGGAGGTAAGTAGATCACCGCAATAATTAATTTGTGTAATTGAAGATGTTCATATTTTAGGTTCACTTAAAGAATTCCTAATTTTTCCTGCACCAGCAAATAAATAATTTATTTCATAACAATTTTTGCAGTTTATGTTGTTTGCAAGTTGCATGAACATAAAACAGAAACAGTAATACGAAATACGCATGCGTCAGATTAATGGGTAGAAGATTATCCTCAAACCATTCTGATAGATTTCGAACAGGTTTGAATCTTGGATGGAACAGAAAACTGATAGTTTACTAATGGTTGAAAACTCACGTTGGAACGCAATCACATTACTGCGCAGAATCCTGACTGTCAGAAACTGTTTCTGACGCTGGTTGGAACGAACCTNCTGGAATGCCACCCTTACTTTATGCTCTAGTTCTTCACGAGTAGCTGATGTTGTATTGTAAACCTGATTTATATTTGTTCCCCAGAGAAAAAATCTAGCGGAGTAAGATCTGGTGATCTAGAATATGAAAAAGAAATAATACATGTATGTAAAGATATGATAACTCAAGAATGTACCTCGGCCACTGAATAGGTCCATAAGTGCCAATCCACTTTTCTGGGAAGGTGTCATTCAGATATTCTCTTACGACTTGAGAATTGTTAGGTGGCGCTCTATCTTGTTGAAAATAGATATCAACTTGGTTAGCTAGAGGCAAATCTTCAATCAAATCATTAGTTTGATTTCTAAGGAACTGTAGATATCTTTCCGCAGTCAGTTGTCTGTCGAAAATTATTGGCCCCAAAAGTTTTCCTCTGATAATACCCATCCAGCAATTGAAATCAAATCGCTCTTGAAAATTTTCTTCTTGCATCAGATGTAAATTTGCAAGCACAACATAAGATTATAAATTGCGGTGATGTGATAGAGTTCGTAAGTGAATTCAAATACTTAGGTTTCATGGTGGATAATCATTTATCCTTTCATGTTCATTTTGATTATATATACAGAAAAATTATTAAAAAAATAAATTTTTTCTCAAGAATTTCATCTCAGCTTTCGATGTACTCAAAAATTACATTATATAATTGTATAATCCAACCCCATTTTGATTATTGTGCTAGTCTTTTATACTCATTTGACCAAAATAAGCTATCGGCTTTACAAAAGTTACAGAATCGTGGAATGAGGATTATTTCACAAATGATATACTAGTATATCAAACATGTTAAGTACATTGCAGTGGCTGTCTGTTTACTAGAGACTGTACGAGTTAGCAATGATATTCATTTTCAAACTAAAACATAACTTGCTTCCAACTTATTTTGGAGAATTCTGTATATATAAATCTCAAATCCATAACCACTTAGCAAGAGCGAGTAGCTCCCAAAAACTCCACCTACCTCGAACTAATTTGACTACTACGATGAAGTCTTTATTTTATAAAGGTTTGAATGAGTTTAACAAACTCCCACTTTCATTGAAAGATTCAATAAATGTTTTCCAATTCGAAAAAAACTCGTGGACTATATAAAATCTCATCCCTGATTTTCTTTTTTCTGTTTTGTAATATATTTGTTATGTATATCCTCATGTTGAAACCATTCTGGAATCATTGAAAAATGT